TTGTAAAGTAAGCTTAAGTTTCTTACTATAGATTTGTTCATTCTTGTTAGACTATGAAAAAAAAATTAAATTATTTTTGACTTCTCTAACACCATTTGTAAAGAGCTGTTTTCAATAAAGTATTGGACTCTAAAGGTCTAAAAAAGCAAACGGAGGCATAAACATCGTTTTTTGTTTGAGTTTTATTTTGACTTCGATTTAATGGCATTGGGGTTCCTGTGTTAACCTACGCCGCTCGTAAACTGAAAACTAGTCATGCACAAAATGGCGGATACTGAAGGTCAAGTTACTGTAACTGTAGCGACACGTCAACTGTAGCAGCAAGTGAAAGCTTGAGAYAGATGCTGATTTAGTATTTCAGTAAGATTTCGTAGAAAGTTARGATATTATCAAATGCTCTATTTGCTATACATGTTACTAAGATCTTGTCTYMWGTTTGTTTTATGGATTTAGTGTGTGCACTCTACTGTTTTGTGTTACTTTTGTGATCTGTTATTTCAACTCCATAACAATTTTGCCACAGGGGCTGGTGGAATATAGGGGTATTTTCTAAGAACCTTGCCCCATATCTGGGGAAATACAGATAGCTTTCCTCTAGTCTCAAAGCAAAGTCCCCGCATTTGCCCGGGATCCCCCCCTCGTGGAAGCCGATGACAAGTGCATAATAGTCGCAGCACAAACGAAAGAAAGCTTTACTCGTCGAAATGTAGTACCAATCAAATGTGCTTCAAAACGACATATTTTCCTTTTTTAGAGGAAAGACATAATTCTTGATAAAAATAAATAAATGTCTCAAATTCAAAATGTGAAAATGCTTGAAATTGAAAAGCCGAATTCCTGTGACGCATTTTCTATGTTTAATTTTGTATAGAAAACATGGTTTTGACGTCATATCTATGTTTCTATACTCTTATAAAACATAGCTTTTCAGCCAACCAGAGCGCGCTTTCGTGAAAATCTATTATATAAAAAAGTTTAATAGCCGAATTTACCTTTATGTGTACCCGGATGTTGCAACGCGTCGACATTCCCGCCAAAAAAAAAAAAAGAATCTAACCAGCCAATTGGGATTCTTGCGTACACGGATGGACGGACGGACGGACGGACGGACGGAAGTGACGTCAGCCAAGCCATGAAAAATCAACTCGATGGTTTACCATTTTTTCTTAAGTATGGGGCTCCGCTACAAAAAAACCGTGCGAAAAAACGTAATAGGAAGGAGAAGACAAAATAGGAAAATAGACTTACTAATAAAGAGTA